TAACATCTGGCTTCTTTTCTTCAATGGCAAGATCTAGCCCTTGTTGAAAAAGAACATTTAGAATCTCGCCTTGCCACATCCCAAAATGTCCTGACCCGTCAAAAATTTCTACAGNNAACCTTGACTCAGTTACCAAGATAGATCTTTTCTGATGTGGAAGATCAGACTATGCTGCAACCACAGAGCATACTTAGACAGTACCTTGGCTCTGATACCAATTGTTGCGGAAGCCAAATGTATATAGTGTGAATGAGTCACAACTACTATACCAAAAATTATGACAACCACTAAATAATAAACAAGACAATAAGACAACAATAAAAGAACACCAGAATTTACGAGGTTCGGCCAATTTTGCCTACTTCCTCGGACACAAACAATATTTTATTCCACTCCAAAATTACAAGTGAAATAATACTAAAGAGAAAAGATACAAATGCCTTAAGAAGATAAAAGACAAATAAGAGGTGTGTTTAAATCCTAAACATTAGGCCTCCTTTTATAGGGTGAAATTTCCATTCACGATGTGGTACTTTTGCCAATTTCAACACATTATACATATAGATGAATCTTATTCAAGTGCGAGAGGGCCTTGAATCATGATATATTAATGCAACTCATAATCGATCTGGTGGCTAGTTAAGCAAGGATGGGCTGGACAGAGAGGCTGTATAGCCAATAATCAACAACTCATTTAATGCAAATTAATAGGAAGCATAAAATATATTTTTTTCCCTTTTAACCCCCAAGTCTTAGCAGACCATCAACTGGAGGAGGTGTGAAGAGGTAATTTTAATTAAAGTGCGTTGCTTTAACAGTTCATATTATGTGCATCCATGTAAAAACTACTCGTAATATTACATATCAGGTCAACCTTATTATCATTCCTAATGGTGACTTAAAAAGTGGAGTAGTAACTTCTTATAACCAATTAAAGTGTACTAATTTTATAAATAAAAAAATTACGTATATAAGTTAAACTCTTACTTTAATACACCATAGGTCCATAGTTGACCAATCATGGAAATTTTGGAGGACCTGAGCTAATTTGACCAAATAAGGAAAAAGGAATAAGTAGTCTGATAAACTGAAGACTTACCAAGAGTGGCAGAGCGGAAGGTGGTTGATCCATCCACAACATTAAGGCTACCAGTGATAATGGTAGAATTCATGCCATCGCCAACAATCATCAAGTTCATTTTCTTCTTAGTCACCTCTACATTTTCTTTGTAGGTTCCTTTCTTGACGTAGATCACGTATCGGTTCTTGCTCTTATCTGGTGCTGCAGCAACTGCTTCAGTAAGTGTTTGATAATCCCCTGATCCATCTTGTGCTACCACTGCATTAGCTTTAATGTCCTTTGCTGAACTCTCCAATAGCTTCCTGTCACTTGAACTTACCCATGGTATTTTCCCTAAAAGAGGCCTGAAAACTTCCTCATTTGGATCAGTTGTTACAGAAGCAAGAATTGCCAAAGCAGTTTTGGCTCTTGAGATCAACTCTTCAAGAATTGTTCCAGTTGAAGCAGTGTTACTTAGGGAATCAAGCCCATCTAAACATGTGACGTGGTTAGTAAGCACCCCACTTAGCCAGACTTGTGCATTGGCATGTGCCAAATGGCTTCTTGTTTTACCAAGTGCTGCAATTGAGTCAGTCACTAAATCAATTGACAGGTCAAGGAGCTCAAGACAGTCAGCTAAAGCTCCTTTTTGACTAATGTCATTGATCTGGTTTCTGATCTTGTGAACCACTGGAATTGCACTGTTCATGTGATGGACATATTTCACTAGGAATTTTTGCAGAACAGCAACTCCATGTGAATCAGATGTAACAATTCCATTGGATACTAATTCAGAGACATAACTGAGGCAGAGTTGGGAGTCTTGTGCAGACTCACATAGTTGTGGAGCAGGTAAAGATGATATTTTAGAATGCTCAAGCTCAAATTGATATGGAGCAACAAGAAAAACAACTGAGAAGAGAGCAACAACAAAGGTTATGACAAAAGTGAGGATCTTGCAGCTGATTATGGGATTTTGCTTGGGTGTCTCTCGAAACAGAGGTTGGTAAGGAGTAGCCATTTCACAAGTTTGTTAATTGTCTTTTGAAAGACTTTCACTCGACTTAGTATATATAACAGCCTCAGCAAAATGGAACAAACATCGGCACGATTAGCTCGCTATTAATGCTTCTTAGAAACAGGGGCGGCTCAAGCACTTGATATGTGAGCCTTAAATTTTTAAAAGAAATATTATAATGTATATTTTTATTTGAAGTCTATTTTCTAACTTTTTAAGATACAAAGTTTTTAATAATTTTTTATAATCGATTTCTTCTAATAATTCCTTATGAATTGATAACGAAATCTTGGAGAAAGAATGTGAGCAATGAAATATTGGAGGAAGAATGTGAGTAAGAATATCAAAGAGAAAGGCAAAAAATATGTAAGGGTTTCCGAAATATAAAAAGATTGGGGAAAAAAGATTGACTAGGACAAACTAAAAAAGAAAAATTAAAATTGGATTTCTCAAATCAACTCAAATTGAAACGTTGGAAACACTATTTATCTACCAATTCTTAAGTAATTCAAATTATTATTATATTTATATATCTAAAAAGTTTTCTTTTTATATTTGAAGTACTAAATAATATTTTTTAAATACATATAAATCTATTATGTTTAAAAAAATGGGACCCCCCAAATTTGGGGGGCCTAAGACACAAGTTTACTACTAACGTTAGAGCCGGCCCTGCTTAGAAAAGAATTACGGATAAGGGTCTGATTTGCCCATCTACTATCATAAATATGCCTTATTTACTNAGCTCCATATTTTTCGGAGAGCGAGAAAATTTTGGACAGTGAGTGAACGAAACTATAGTGTTATTTCTAATTGATTTATTTAATTATTTCACCTTTGTCTATGTTAATTTATTTTCCTTTAATACTTTGGAGTTAGGAGACATGAATCACTCAATGATATTTTGAAGTGTTTGTAGAGATACAACTCTGTAAAGTCTAAACTGGGTCAATTGACCATGATTGATTCACGAAAAAGCAATTTCCTGATACATCATTTATGAAGATTGTGCGAAAAATAATAGTTATAGCAGCGACAATATATTGACAAACAATAACTTTGAACTCAAAATCACTAATCTAATACAACTTACAATTATTGCAGTAACCAAAGTAAATTACAAGAAGTTGCACAACAATGGAGTTAATGAAGTCTTATTTAAATTGGATGGACGGGGTTAAATTATCTTAAATAGGTGACCATATTTAAATTGGAAGAAAAAAAATCCACATAGGCCCCATGTAGGAAAACAAAGGTGGGACATAGCGATCTACCGGATGAGGGTAAATATAGGGTATAATTGTAAGGATAAATATGTCAAGAAAGTATAACGAAGGGCAAATGTAACCTTCTTTGAAGAGTATAGGGGTAAATATGATCCTAAAGTATAACGAAGGACAAATGTAACTCATTTTAACGCGTAAGGGTAAATATGAACCTAATGTATAACTGTAGCGATATTTTTGATAAAAATCATAAACGGAGGGTAAATAAGACTTATTTATGATAGTAGATGGGCAAATCAGACCCTTATCCGAAAGAATTAACTTATATGCATTAATTGAATAATAAAATTTCTATATTATCAATACAGTTTAACCTAACATAGAAATTAAACACCCTAGAAGATCATTTAAGAGGGTCGCATGTAATATTGGGAGGCAAAATGCTATGGCATCCTATTTTGAACTGTATTACAGCCAAGCGACTGAAAATCTTCACCCGCTGATACAACACTCATATGACAGATCTCATGTACTCCCTCGGTTCTCTTTTACTTGGCATGTATGATAAAAATATATTTTTACTTTTTACTTGTCACTTTACGCATATCAAGAGAAGATAAAAAAAAATTTCTGTTATACCCACGGTATTTATTACTCATTTTAATTTATTTTCTCAAATCCAATAAAATATGCATTAATTAATATGGGTATCATAATAAATTATGCACTTCATTTATTATTTCTTAAGGGCGTGAAAAGTCAAAACGTACTAAGTAAAAGTGAACGAAGAGAGTATTAAAGTAGCTTTAATATTCAAAGCCAGGGGACAACTAAAGGAAAAAATCCCTTTTTTCTACTTAACTTTATTAAATGTCAATATTAACGAGGCCACTTGTTGATAACTAGACAGAGTAGTGTTTAATTTAGGGCTGAATAATTTCCCCAAAAATGACCGATTTGTTATGAAATTATTATATTGTGGATGTCCATTTATTACTCTGCTATAGATAATCTTCCTGAAGAAGATTATTCACTTAGTACCCTGTTGAAGTTTATCTACAAACAGCTGATGCAGGCAGGTTGCAAGCAACTCAATGAAATAATTTGCAGCAGCTTCTTATTAAACAGGTTAGTTGCAAGCAGCTCATGCAGACAGCTTACAAGAAGCTAAAGAAAAGCCTTGCAGCTGCTTCCTGAAAAGCCTCCCAGCTGCTCACTTTCTTCTATAAATAGAGGATTTTTCAGTTCATTATGTACATAAGTTTGAAGTATGAATAATATATCAGTTTCTCTCTATATTTGTCTTTATTTTACATCCTTTATTTTATAACACGTTATCAGTACGAGACTCTGCCATCTCGAGCAAATAATTTGAAAGTATCAGAGCTACGAACCTTTTTTTTCTAAATAATGTCAAATCTTTCCAAACTTGAATTTGTAGCCCTAGATATCTCGGGAAAAAGCTACATATCATGGGTGCTTGATGCTGAAAATCATCTTGATGCGATGAGTCTGGCAGATACCATCAAGGACAAAAATCAAGTATCAAACCAAGATTGTGCCAAAACAATGATATTCATATGCCATCACATTGATGAAGGCTTGAAAATGAAATATCCCACTATTAAAGATCCAGTCATACTGTGGAATAATTTAAAAGATAGATATGACCACCTAAAGATGATCGTTCTTCCACAACGTTATGATTAGATCCTTCTAAGGCTACAAGATTTTAAATCGATCAGTGAGTATAATTCTGCTATGTTCAGAATTATTTTCCAATTGAAACTATGTGGTGATAATATTATTGGTCATGATATATTGGAGAAAACTTTCATCACTTTTCATGCCTCGAATATGCTCCTGCAACAGCAATATCGAGAGATGAGATTCAAAAAGTATTCTGAACTTATCTCACATCTTCTTGTTGTCGAGAAACATAATGGGCTATTAATGAAAAACCATGAAAGCCGACCTACTGGTTCTTGTCCAATCCCTAAAGTGAATGAGACAAACTTCCACCAAGCTAAGTGTGGAAGATGACGTGGCCCCAGTCGTGGTCATGGCCGTGGTCAGGGAAGAAACACTAATCATGGTAATAATAATGCACCAAAGAACCCTGCTCACCACCAGCAGTGGAAAAGGAAGGAACAAAAGCATGAAGCGGTGCAAGAAACAAATGCAGAAAATACATGTTATAGATGTGGCAAAAAATGGCACTGGTCACGTACATGTCGTATGTCAAAGCATTTGGTTGAGCTTTATCAAGCCTCCCTGAGGAAGACAAAGAAAAATGCTGAAGCAAATTTCATTTCTGAATATAATTTAGATTTCATGCATTTGGATGTAGCTGATTACTTTGCACCCCTTGAAGGAGAAACAAGTCATTGATTTTTGTTGTTTGTAGTAGATAGTATGGTTGTGTAATTATTGTACATAAATAAAAGTTATGCTTTGATAATGATATTTACTATCATATTTATTTTGTTTATGTTATTTTGAAGAATATGGATAATCCTCAAATTATGTTTGGATCAAAGACCAATCATGAAGATATTTGTGTAATTGATAATGGAACAACTCATGTCATATTCAAGGATCAGAAATATTTTTCTTATTTGCATAAGGAAAAAGCAAATGTTTCAACAATTTATGGTAATATAAGTTTGATTGAAGGCTCCGGAAGAGCCATTATATTTATGTCTAAGGGAACAAAACTTATTATCGACAATGCATTATTCTCCTCCAAGTCCCAAAGAAACATGTTGAGTTTTATAGATATCCGCTGAAATGGGTATCATGTTGAGACGATAGATGAAATGAATATGGAATATCTTTGTATTACAAAGAATGTTTCGGGCCAGAAGTGCATTGTCGAAAAGTTACCAACTTTATCTTGTGGCTTATACTATTCAAAGATTAGTACAGTTGAAGCACACTCTATCATAAACCAGAAGTTTACTGATTCAAATATTTTTATGCTTTGGCATGGCCGTTTGGACCATCCTGAATCAATAATGATGAGACATACTACTGAAAATTCGAGTGGGCATCCATTAAAGAACCTGAAGATTCTTACAAATAATGAGTTTTTTGTGATGCTTGTTATCAAGGCAAAATGATCACTAGACCATCACCAATGAAGGTTGGCATTGAATCCCCTGCCTTTTTAGAACGTATACATGGGGATATATGTGGACCTATTCACCCACCAAGTAGGTGGTTTAGATATTTTATGGTCCTAATAAATGCATCTTCAAGATGGTATCATATGTGCCTACTATCTTCTCGCAACCTGGTGTTTGCAAAGGTATTAGCCCAAATAATTAGATTAAGGGCACAATTCTCAGATTATCCTATAAAGGCTATTCGTCTTGATAATGCTGAAGAATTCTCATCTTAAGCTTTTGATGATTATTGTCTATCAGTTGGGATAAAAGTTGAACATCTTGTAGCTTATGTTCATACTCAAAATGGCATTGCAGAGTCATTTATTAAATGCCCGCAATTGATAGCAAGACCATTACTTATGAAAACAAAATTGCCCACTATTATTTGGGACCATGCTATCTTGTATGCAACATCACTTATTCGTCTCAGACCGACACATTATAATAAATATTCTCCGTTACAATTAGTTTTTGGTCATGAATCAAATATTGCCCATATATAAATTTTTGGATGTGTTATATATGTGTCAGTAGCACCACCACAATGCAGTAAGATGGTCCCCCAAAGAAGGTTAGGAATATATATTGGGTTTGAATCACCTTTTATTATTCGCTATCTTAAACCATTGACGGGAGATTTATTTACTGCTCGATTTGCAGATTGTCGATTTGATGAAACAAATTTCCCACAATTAGGGGGA